AGATAGATAGATAGATAGATAGATGGATGGATGGATGGATGGATGGATGGATGGATAGATAGATAGATAGATAGATAGATAGATAGATAGATAGATAGATAAAAAAATAAAATAAAATAAAAGACCATGGTGCTAGGGTTATAAAGCATGGGAGCCAATTCTGGTCCCTCTGCCTCCTTTTCCTCGAGTCTCCTGCTTAGGACCTCGGTGGGCAAATAATGCCTGTGAAGGGCCCAACTCCAGTAAGCAGCAGCTGAAAGATCTTGGCTATTTTTGCCACTGTGACAATGGAATGTCCACTCCCCCAGCCACTTCCACAGCACTCAACACCAGCACCCAGCCACTCTACCCAGCACATGTTGGGAACAGATCACAGGCCTCCCAGCTCCTGTCACCCAGGGAGACCTGCCAAGATGACTCTGGGATGCTGGAGGCCAGAACATGAGACAAAGGACTGCCCCCATCCAGCAAGGGAAACCTGACCCTGAGCCCAAAGAAACTGGCCATCTGTGTGCTTTCCCCGGGGCCCAAGGACAAGAGGCCATCACCCAGGTCCCTGAGTGGATGTCTCAAAGGGAGACCCACATTCCGGGGAGCATAGAAATGTTGGCCATCTGATTGCTGGAAGTGGGAGAGGAGAAGGCACACAGCTGAGACCTGTGTGGCTTCCCAGCAAGAGCCATCAGCCCTGAGGAGCCAGCAATGCCAGTCTTGCCAGGAAGAAAAGGCAAGCTGAGGAAAAACCCTCTGTTCACAGGGGACTCTTCCTCGCAGTGGCAGTGTTCTCCCAGGGGAAAGCCAGCCTGAGGTCAGCTGGAAGGTATAGGGACGACTCCATCAACCCCAGTGCTGGCTGCAGCCTGGGCAGCAGGCAAGCCCTGGGGCTCTACCAGCCCCTCTGGCAGAGGAGGGCCTTCACGTGGGCAGGAACTGATGATTCATGCCCTGCTGGAATTTGTTGAGCATGCTGAGATCTGCAGCTCCTCTGAGGAGATCAACCCTTGCTCTGATCAAAAGGGAAGAAGATAGATGAGGACACTATAAATAGGCCAGAGCCACCCAGCTGGCCTCCGGGATGCACACTCTGGGTTCCCACGAAGCTAAGAAACTCCACATCCAGGTTGACATCGTGACACGCAGCCACCTGCTTTAGGGGGACGCCGGGGACAAGGAGGAACTGTTGGCAGAGGCTTCGGTTCTAGCAAGTTTCAACTTCTGCTAAAATTGGTTCATTGGTTGCTTTGCACAATTCAGGACACGCAGCTTCTCTGTCCACACAGTTCACTCACTTGCCTGGGCACCCAGAGAAACAGACATGGCTTGTTTCTTCCAAGCCCTGGCTCCTGCAGAATCGGCATTGAATGTGTTTGCTGGGGCTTCTGTCCCTGTCATCTGAGAAGGGTGGGCAGAGAAGGCAGGAAACTCTGGGAAGTGAGTTGGGAGGCCTGCTGGTGGGCCTGGGCAAGTCTCTTCTCCTCTTTGGGACTCAGCTGTCTCCTCTGTAAAACGGGGTGTATTCATTTCCTGTGACTAATGTAACAAAATCCCACCGACTTAGTAGCTTAAAACAGCAGACATTATGCCAGGCTCGGTGGCTCAGCCTGTAATCCCGCGCCTTTGGGAGGCTGAGGTGAGTGGATTGCCTGATCCCGCGGGTTCGAGACCCGCCTGGGCAGCGAGGCCTCATCTCTACAATAAATCAAAAAATCAGCCGGGCGTGGTAGCGCATGCCTGTAATTCCGGCTACTTGGAAGGCTGAGGCGGAAGGATCGCCGGAGCCCGGCGGGTCGAGGCTACGGTGGCCGGGAGCAGCCACTGCACTCCAGTCTGGGCGACAGAGTGAGACTCCAACTCAAAAAAAAAAACAACAAAAAACAGCAGACATTGATTGTCCTAGTGTTGTGGGGTCAGAGGTCAGAATGGGTCTCTAAATGGGCTAAAGTCAAAAGATCAGCAGGGCTGCATTCTTTTCTGGAG